TTATGGTAAGGTTTATGTCTGCAGTTGCCAAAAAGAAGAATCATAGCTGAATTAAATTCTATTTCAGCAGAATACTCCCAAGAAGGGTATTTATTGTGGATAGAGGCAATGAAAAATGTGTATCACATCAGTGAAGGATGGGATATGCAATCCCTTTATTTATTTCTCAGATATCCCTGTTCCTGCCTCATAAAGTTCATGTTTTTACTGCTGATAATGCTAATGATTGTGTCATTTATTTGTGGATGGATCTTCATTCAGAATCATGTTCCTAATATCAACAGAATTGGACCAATTTCTCCAAACCACCTGAAGCCAAAGTAAGCCATTGGAATGTGAAATACAATTCTGAAGCATAAGGTATAATATTGCTTTAACTTTATTTGCTGGAACCTGCTTTTAAAAAAAAAAATTAAGGGAAGAAAAAGTAAAAGCAGTTGCATGCTTTTAAACCACAAGTAATGGATTTATTAGTCATAAAGTGACATCCATTTATAAGTCTTTTGCAAATTAACAAAGGCCCAAGAATTACAGAATTTTGTAATATCTTACTGTTTATTATTTGATTCTTTAAATCTATGCTTTAATTGCATTTTTGGACAACCAAATAATTACATAGCATAAAACTGCAGAACAAACATGATGGCATATACCTTCTAAAAAGCTCCTTTCTCTGTTCCATAATCCAAGGTCTTCCATAAAAACCTGTAAGAAATATTGAAGGTATAAATTTAAGTATTAAAATTATTTTGAAATAATCAACCTCCGCAACAGAAAGCTTTGACCAAATCCTTGTTTTCATAATATTCATATGAAATAGAATTTATAATCTTGCATTGCCTACCTAATTTCTGCACCTGTGAGAAATAGTTGAAACAGATATTTTATGTGAACAGATGTAACAGCAGACGGGAGTGTACTACTTTGAAGAACAAGAGTGGAATTTAGGAATTCTCCTGGATTAAATACTACTTAAAATGGTTTAGGTCAGGGGTCTCCAACCTTGGCAACTTTAAGACTTAATTGGTTTTTTACTGTGGCATGTGAGTTGTTTGTCAAAAGAATGATTACTGAAATTTTTTTGAACTGTTATTTGAAACACTGCTTCATCCATATTACTTACCAATAGTTGAAGATTCACAAGAGTATTCCTTCTCACAAACCCATACTATGAAGTACTTAAGATGGGTGAGATCAGTATTTTCTGCAGCAATAGCACCCTGTTTTAGAAATGTATTAACTAGAATCTAAAAGATTCCATCATTTGTTTTTAAAAAATTAAATGATTCATTTGTCTTTGGGTGTTTTATTAGATTGCCAAATTGTTGCTTTTTAGTTTTTATTTATTAGATTGTTATCCTCCCTTTATTACCATATAAGTAATTCAAGGCGGCATACATAATACTCCTTCTTCCTCCTATTTTCTTCGCAACAACTCCTCTCCGACGTGAATTGGGCTGAGTGTATGTGACTGGCCATAGTCACCCAGCTTTTTTTATTGTAGAAAGATAAAGGCAGATTAAAGATGTTTAGCATTTTAAAAAATTAAATGAACAACAGCACTCAAAAATTATGTGAAGATTCATTTAAAAAGTACAAGTCATTCAGTTAAGTTTTGCCCTGAGCAGTTTAGAGCTTTATAAATTAATTGAGCTCAAAGGAAACCTTGAATAAAGGTAATTCAAAACTATTACACACCCTGTAAAATACATATCATTCAACAATATAACTGCCATATTTTGCATTACCTGTATGGTACTTTCTAAACATTTCAGGGCATCCCTATATAACAAAAAATAAACACTTAAGGTATATGAAGGAATATACAGCTGCCACCTGATCTTCCAACAGTGGCCTCAGATCCAAGATTATTGCAAAATTGCACATACACTTCAGGAATAAACTAACAGTAAGGTTTAATGGTTTAAAAGGCACTGGAGAATTAATCTATATAAATTAGTATGATTATATAAAAACATCCTCCAACTTTTCCTGAATAAAAATTATTCACTAGGATTTGTCCCAATGTATCTGAATAAAAATTAATAAGCTTTTGAAATAATGTCTATCTGAAAATCTGTTCAAATTTAATACCAATCTAATACACTGGTATTAGTTATAGCCACATCTTCTCCCACAGACCTCCATGTGGCTACTATGAGTCAAAAGAAAGAAATGAGTCAAAATATTAATGTAACATTGTTACAAGTCTTGATATAACTCTCAGAGATTACCTCTCTTGTTCTGATCGTGTTTTGATACTAAGTCTTTCAGCACACATCCATTAAAAATGGAAGCCTCTAGCATTGTCAGGGTCCTCTGAGGTGAAAGTGGAAGAGTATCTCCTCCATGATTCCAAAACCACAGATTACGCTTCTTCAGGCATGTATTTTGTCCTGACTGGATCCATGAGACAGTTTACTTCAACAAGTGTCTTTTTAACTACTAATCTCAAAAATGTGAATATTCAAAATAGGATCACAATCACCAATAAGGTGCTTAATCCAAATAGCTAGAGACAACTCCATCTCCCAAAACTGGGAGGAGCATCTATTTCTATATACATCAGTTCACCAACAAAAAAAATGTGCTTTTATTATTTACCATCTTTTTTTAATGGCCATTGTAAATCTATTCTGTATTTTTTCTTCATTTTGTTGATAAAATCCCAGCATAATTCAGAATAAATGCTACATATAATACAGAATGTTTATATTAAAATAGATTGAAATCTTTTAAGTTCCTATAATTATAAGCACAAACATTTCAACAATTGCCAGCATGGGAAGCTGTTATGCTCCTTCCAAGGTTGTCAAAGCCATCTATCTGTCATTTTTATCAAAAGTTTCTTATTCTAAAAAAGGCAGGGGGAGGGATTAAATCTATGCATTGCATTCCAGGTTACCTATGCTTTAGCACATATGCAATTGAATAAACACATATATTACAGTTTCAATTGTTAATAGTGTTTTCAATATAGTTTGAAATATACTGGGATTGGTGTAATATTAACTGCACATCTGGAAATATCTAATCATTCAAATTCTATTGTTCCTGAATATTGCACAAAGCAATTATTAATCTACGTGCATCTTCCTCCATATTAACCATATTACAAAAATTGAACACAACCTTATTTTTCATCTTTATATATCACTGCTTTTCTCTGTTCTGATATAAAAATTCTGCTATAGCGCAAGCCAATAAAACAAACTGTAACTGCAGCCAATATGATTACTATGTGGGTAGAAAGAAAACCAATTCAAGATTTGAATGATATCCTTAGCTACATATTTTAGGCTCACTCTAGAATAGAAAATGATACAATATCTATGCAAAAATATTTCCTAAATCTGCAGTAGTCTATTTTTGTAGGCAACAGTAATTCTAGTAATTATATCATATGGACCTTTAATGTTAAAATAACCAATTATGTATTTTACATATCCAATGAAAGCACCTTGAAATTGTCATTTTAAAAATAAAGTTACTGCTTTCAATGTATTGAAAAGACAAAAACCAAAGATAACAAAATATCAATACAACACACATCTGTTAGAATAAAATAAGAAAATCTCAGTATTTTTAGCAATTGGTTAAAACAAACACATGGAAGATTATTTATCATTTTTGCTTAGGAAAAAAGCCTGAGCGAATAAGCAGATATGATCAATCTAAGATTTTATATCAGGTCTCACAGGCCATCTTGGGTGTGAGCACAAATCTACCTGCATCAACCGTCTTTATTAGATGGAGTTAACACTATAGCCTACTAGTGGGAACAATCTGCTAAATATTCCCAGAAAGTTTGCAGCTCAGATAAATTAATCTTCAGAGGATGCTCTATATTATTTTGCGTTTTTTCATCCATGCGCCCAACATTTAACTTTAGAACCTAACCTAGAAATTTAATATGATCACTAACATAACTGATCTATATTGCTGTAACCTTAAAAAAAAAACAGTTTACACACAAAAAGCGCTTCGCAAACAATTCAATCTGTGACTCTTCTTTTAAAGACTCCATGTTAATCATCGGGCCAAGTTCACAGAGAGTGATCAATTGAAACTGGGAAGGGGAGAAAAAGGAGCCAAGTTAAAACCTCCGCTGCCGCCGCCGCCGCCGCCAGATTTTACTGCTAGGGCGGAGTCAGGCGCTACACAAAGAGGTGAAGAGTAAGGAAGGCGGCGGCGGGGGTGCGGGGAAAGCAACGCTTTGTTCCAACGGCGGGTCCTTTTTTTCAGCGCTCTTCCCACTGACGAGCCCCGGGGTCCCCTCCCGTTTCCGAGCTCTCTGCCATTACCTTCCACAACGCCGCAGAGGAATCGCCGTGCTCCCGCATTGCCCACAGCTCCGGAGCCATTCTCGGGAACCGCTTCTGGGCCCGAGGGGTCCGGTCTTGTAGGGGGCGACTCACTTCGGGGCGAGGAGACGGTCGTAGAAGTAGGAACGGAGGTGCCCGGAGATTCCCCCCGCGTTTCAGCCACCATCCCAGCCAGATCCGCTCCAGGGCTACCGTCCGCCGCCATCGCCCTTCCCTGCACTCTAACCAGGGTAGGCTGCGCTTGCGCGGAGAAAACCAGCCCCAACTGGTCCAAGCCGGAACCAACCGCTCCGCAACCTCGTTTTCCAACCGGAGCCGCGGCTGATGATCACGTGCTGCTCCACCGCTCTTCCCTCCGCGCGCCAGCCAAAAGACAGGAATCGCGAACGAACCACTCAAACACAACCCTGGCTTCAGTAGAGAACGAACGGGCTATTGTAAGGGTGGGGGGCAGAACTGACGGAAAAAACCTTACAGCGCAGGCGTGAGGGGCTCGCAGGCTACTAACTGCGCATGCTTAACAGGGTCAGAGGCGCAGGGACGCGCCTATACGCACGCGCAAAAAATGAAGCCTCGCTCGACTGCGAATGTGATAGGCGTTGGCTTCGCAGCGAGGCATTGGAGCGCATGCGTAGTTACCGGACAGACTCCGGGGGCGGTACGGCGCAAGTGAGAAGGAAAATAAACAAAATAGCCGGCGTTAAAGCGCAAGCGCAGAATTTAAAGCGCGAAAGGGAGTGATAATTTTGTTTAGGCTAATGTAGTGCAAGGGGGCGGAGTCTTGTGCAGGCCGAAAAGTTCAGCGCCGTCCTTCCGCGTTACTTTCGTTTCCTTGCGGTTGAGGAGGCGGAGCGGTTGAGGAGGAGGACATATTTTGTGTCTGGTTGCTGAGCAACATTGACGGCGCCTAAGGAAAATATGGCATTCTTTCAACCGATTCCTTAACCCACAAGATAAAAAATGAAATAATTCAGCAATACATACTAGAAATGTTGTGTTTTACCGGTACACCGGAAAGCTTTCCGGTTGTCGTGTTTTAAGCTGTAAAAAATCCTGCCCCAAAGCATGGAAAGGGACATTAATTTGTTTCGCTTGTTCAATAATTTCCCTGTTTCAAATTTTCAGCGAAGGGGCTTCTCTCTCCAGGATAAATGCGTTGCCCGAATATATTGTCTTTTATTCCTGTCCAAGCCGGAAAAATGTAAACTTTCCGACTCCAGCTCGACCGTTAATAACTGGCATCTTCGCAATTGCCTTCTGTCATGTTTTTTCACCCCCTGAACACGCAGACAAGCCCTGAGTTTCCTTGCGCGAGAGAAAGGGCAATGCTGATATAAACTATAGTGGTTTGGGTGGATTAGGAAGAACAAGGAGAGAATCGAGGATATAATTAGTAAAAACCATACCAATCTAGCTAATTTAATTCTGTTAATTTGATAATCCTTGGATATGTGTATTGGAAAGTGTTGGATATGTTCACCAACTTGAGTTATTTATAAAAATAATAAAGTTGGGATACAAATAAATAGCGAGAATGGTAAAATACTTAGTAGCCTTGATACTGTTTACAGCATGTAGATATGTAGTAATTTTATATAGTTACCAAGGTTCAATGGAACAGGGATACAAATGCTTTTAAATAAAATAAATATTATCTAATATCAAGTACTGATGATAATAGATAATAGAAATAAAAATAAAAATAATTGGTCCTTGAAAAACTGCTTGGAAGATTGCTAATCTGGAAGTAAGATGCCATTGGCCTAATTTAGAAAGAAATCCTCCAAGATTGGCTGCTGTTTTCTTGCAAATTACTTATGTTGAGTGTGTAGCTTTGGACTCCTGGATCTCCATGTTCCCGGCCTAAATTCAAGTCTTTTGTGACCTTTGTGCAACTCTTTGACTTTTCAAGGTTGAGAATTCAGAACAGGTAAAAAAAAACTGGAGTCTAGTAAGCATCTTTTCCAACTAATACATTTTATTAAAAGGCATAAACTTTCGTGAGCTGCAGCTTATTTCAGCATCCTATATAATTTATATAAAATTTAGCCAGAAAAGTTGATTTTTTTCTTCTAGACTGGCACTTATTTTCCAGTTCTGAAAAGGAAAATTGAAATAGACTGTCTTCTCCTAGATGCCTAGAATTGCAATCAAATAACTCCAGAGTATAAATTTATGCGTTGTAGTTTTGAAAATAGAAGTGACTTATCAATTCTTATATCAACATAAGTTTCACCAGCTTGTGACAGCATAGCTATTTTGTTTTTCATTCTTTGATTTTGATATTACACAAACAAGAACTTGCATTTTATTTGTTTTTGGATACTTATTAGAGAATTCTTCAGATTGCCATGAAGCTGCTTGGATACCTTACATTGAATCAGTCTAACCTACTTCATAATGCTGTAAAAATAAAATGTATTTGCAGCATGAGGAATTTAATCATATGTATTCTGTCCTGAGTTTCTAGAGGATTGTCAAATGAAAGAAAGAACATTCCAATTCAGAAATTGTTTAGAGGTACTTCAAAAGGCAATAGAACATGGTACCGGTAAGTTTTAGCAATTTGGTTAGATAAAACCCAATGCTACCAACATATTTCACAAAAATGGGATGTACTGTAAATGTACTTTTAAAGGAAATAAAATAGATCATAGTTTATTAGAAGAAAAGAATCATGAAATCTTGAGCATCTGCATGATTTATGCCGTTGGGATTTAACGCATAGGAAGTAAAATAACGGAATATTGAATTGTATTATAAAATAAAATTTCACATCCTTTAATGAGCCCCAGGAAAAAGGAAAATAGAAGTTGTGGTTGCATAGTTTCTATATGTTCCATATGTTTATAGAGATCGTATATATATTTGCATAGATTTACATAGCATGTTCATCTAGAAAAATGTAGATGCTGTAGTGAAATGTTTTGAAACTAAATATTTACTCTTTCTGCAGACAAATTGTGAGAGTGATTATACCTGAACTGATAATGTCTAAAAGTACAAAATGAATCCAAGTTTCATCATGTGTTAGATATGTTCTAATTATGGTTGTGATGGCAATATTACAATACAAAATATAGTTAGAACCTATTAGCTTCTAATTTGGGGAACCAGAAGTTTCACTTGTCAAAAGAATCAGAATCTAATATTAAAACAGCTACGTATTCCCTGCCAAAGGGCAAAGAGATCTATAAATACAACCAAAAGGTTTTAAAAACAAGTTTAGATAGAATCTGTAAAATTGATTATAATGCATTATGCTATACTTTTGAAAGCAGGCTTTAGGTGGAATTTTTATTAGAAAATCTCATGACCTTATAGTGAAACATGGTGATGAACCAAGGCAGAAGAGATATTAAAGAGAAAATAGGGAGGAGTACGGTATAAATTCCCTTTGAAGGACAGATTATCCCAAAACTCATTATGAAAAGAATATAGCAAAGCAAACAATAGCAGAGGCTATGGTGTTTGTGCATAGCCATTAGGTGTGCATTTTATTGTTATATCTGATTGTTATTATACAAAATATACAGATGAAAATGCAAAGCTGATAGCAGAGCTTGTGCAGTGGAATTAGGCTGCTTGGTCCCACTACTGATTGTAATGACAGACAGGTAGAAGGAAGCAGCTAGTATGTGAGTAAGGAATAGTCAACAGAGTCATCAGTCTCCAACTTCCAGAACTGAATATAGCCCCACACATGTATTTAATATCTACTCAAAAGCATACTGTAATTGCAATTATCAATAAATAATATGGAGACATATTGAACCAATATGTCAGGTTGAAAGATAGATAAGAACAGACTTTTGCAAACTAACCCTTCCAGATGTATTGAGTTATCAATCCTATCATCCCTGTCTAGTTTAATGGACTGCTGATTGGCAATGATAAGACTTGAACATGTGGAAAGACCAAATTCAGAAGGAATTGTGTAGGTTTGCAGAGTCAATTTATGAACCAAATCAGGTCAATATGATGAGGAAAATAGCAAATGTATTGCCAAATGAGAAGGGCACATGATATCCTGTTTTATAAAATAATTTGTTCATTTCTCTAAAGCAAATTGAAACTCTCACTTTACCCATAAACATGCACTGCAGAAGTGATTGTGAGTAAATTCATAAATTGTACCATCCATAATTGTGAAAACTTACTTTTTTTGGATATTAGGAAGACAATCTGCATTCACTGAAATTTTATATATTGCCTAAGACACTATTTTCAAATGTGAAATACCCTTGCATGAAGAATTGCTTCCTCAAATGGGGATAAAGCCCTTATTTTAACCAGATGGCAAAAGATCTGTAGAGTTCATTGTGATCAGAAAATTGATGTGGAGTTCCTTATTTGTTTACAGGATAATTTCCTATAGATCTAAAATTGCATCTGAATTAAGAGAAAATAGAGGAATGAGTTCACCTCTATGTGCAACGAACTGTAATGATGCCAAAATGATGATAGGTGCATAATGGTGTCATTACATAAATGTTGCAAATATTTCATTTATTTATTTAACAGGTTTATATAGCCACCCATCTCACACATGGCAACTCTAGGTGGCAATTATGTACAATGCTTAAGATCCAATATCTGACACAAAGTGTGACATTTACATTATGACATCACAATGCACATTTCTTCATTTCCCTTCTTTCCTATAAATGAGATGTTGTGGTAGAATGTGGTGCAGACTTGCAGAAGGGAAGGGGGTCTTTCCCAAGGAGTAAATCAGTCTGGAATCCTTGCTATGCAGGAAGAGGGCCGGAGTGGAATCTCCATAACCTTTCATAGCATATATTTAATTGTTAGGCAGATTGTGCTTTTGTCTGCCAATATTCCTGTCTATAGGCCAGCAACAAAAAAAGTACTCTGAGTAAATCCTTGTGTTGTTCATGGTTCCAAGGAATCACGATTACAATTACTGTATATGATAACTATTTACTTGGGAGTGGGAAAATATCTTCTGCTGATTAAAAAGGCAAGACTGCAATGGTTTGAATGGCAAATTGGGCTATATAAGTATTGACAATCCTACATGCTTTTGAATAAGAAATATATTCTAGTTAGGCAAAATAAAAATAAATTATTTTGATAATAGTATAAGAGAATGATACACAGTCATATTTCTATCCATCTTGGCTGAGGAACTCCTCTAATGCAAATGCCAGAAGCTACTCCTCTGACTTTGCTCCAGTTATATTTATCAGTACCAGTTTAAATATCTTGCCACCATGTGGCATTTCTCTATATTAATCATGAAACATAAAGTGTAGCTTTCCTCCATGCTATGCTGTGTTGAGCTTCCATATCACAGCAAGACATTTCTGTCCCTCTCAGTATGGAAAACCTAATAGTAATATGCTGTGCATGTTAAATTGAATGGCCAATATACAGAAACAGCTAATTCCGATGACATCATATATCAATTATAGCACATATCTCTTTAGGCAACTGTTGTAAGGAAAATTGGAGAATAATAAGCAGCTATTAGTAAGGCAATACCAATTATTTTGGCTGACCTGAGTGGCCATTGGAGATGGTCAGGGAACTAAAGTGATTTTTTTTTCTCTCCCTTGCTACTATTTTAGGCCTTTGAGAATTAAAGAACATTGAATTGACTTTCATCTGAGGTTAGTCCAACAGAAGCATTGAAGGAGATTGCGGAAATGAAGTATGGAAACTAAGAAAATATGGTAAGTAGAATAAGTTTTTTTATATCAAACAAAATTACAAAATATTAAGAAAATGTTTCTTTGAAGAAAATTAAAATAAAATATCTTAATGGGTGATACTGAACTTGGTCTACGAAACTAGATTCCAGTGATCCTTAATAATTTACATATGATGGTGTAAAGGACTACCAAAATGTAAAATAATCTCAAGAAGGGGAAGAGCCATATGTGGCTACAATGTACATGGCAATCTGTTTGCATAGCTAATAAATCCTGAGCCAGCCTATGCCATTTCTAGACTCAATTCAATATTTCCTGCACTTCTTTTGGAATCATGAAATATTTATTCCTCTTGCAGTTCCTACAGTAGAAATCCTTGGAGCTTACTTTGTGTGACAAGGTACCCTAATTATTATTAATAGCTGAGGTAAAAATCTGAAACTGAAAAAGAAACATCAGAAGTTATCAGGGCTGGTTATTAAGAGGAAATACCGGAGCAGTCTGCCATTACAAAAGAAATGTGGATTAAATTTAATATTTGTGTATTAGAACAAACCATTTATTTCAGGGGAGTTAAGGTAAGAAATAGCCATCTATTTATTAAATATTACCTTTGCATCTTCCCAATCTAATGCTTTTCAGTTATTAAGACTGCAACTTCTATAATATGGCCATGCTTGATGGGTAGTTCTCAAAAGCTACTGTTGTAATATTTCTGCAGGGTTTCTTGAGATATAACAGTATTGTCCAAAATATTTTTTTTTTTAATTTGATTTATATGCCGCCCTTCTCCGGAGACTTAGGGCGGCTTACAATGTGCTAAGTAATAGCCTTCATCCTTTTTGTATATTTATACAAAGTCAGCTTATTGCCCCCACAACTGGGTCCTCAATTTACCTACCTTAGAAAGGATGGAAGGCTGAGTCAACCTTGAGCCTGGCGAGATTTTTTCAGATCTCTAATAGCCAGTCAATTTGTGGGCATCATTTTGGGGAAAGGTAGTATATAGTGATAACTATATACTTTGTATCTTCTTTGTCTGTTATGATTCAGCTTTGCCTCTGTTAGAATTTTCATGTTTGCTGCTTGTTTTCTTTTGAATTTAAATAACAAAGCCTAACTATTTTCCTATTGCCTCTTTTTTTAATTCAGTATAATATCTTCATTACTTCATTCCCTCCTGCTGGGCATCTTTCCTCCGATCTATTCAGAATGTCCCAAGAGGTCTCATCTCTTGCCGTATTACATTTTCCCTTAAATTGACCATTGTCAATGTATTCAGTGTTAAGTTTCTCCTCTTTCCTTGTATTTTTACTCCATACTGCTTCTCTTCCTTTTTAATGTAGCTTCCATGTTGTACTCCTGAGTTTACACAGCTGCTCTATTATCAGCACCCTTGTATTTATTTTTATTTTTACTTAAGCCCTTAAAACAGACTTTGCTTTTTTTCAAAGTGTTTTATAAATGACCTACATTTTATCACTTGTTCCTCTATTAATGATTTCCCTAGCACTTCCCCATTACCGTCTTTTTACTGCATCCCTGTTGTGCCTATTCAACATTCCTGTGTTGCTTTTATATTCTGTATAAAATCTGGCATTTCCTTGGAGCAAGCATGCTCTGAAGTTGTTCGTTGTTTGTAATGCTTTGACAACCGAAGGGCCCATAGGCTGTTTATCATGGTAATGCTATAGTAACAAAACCAGCAAACAAAATCACAGAAATAGCATTTTGCAAATGCTAAGGGAAAGTTCCTTTGCAGAAAAAGGAGATTGTTGGCATAGGAAAAGAACAGCCAGCCAGGGAAAACTCCCTCTGTTTTCCCATATATATTTTTCCTATTTCTCTCATATGGTGCCCCTTCCATCCGACAATACTTCTGCTTGTAATCTGCCTATACATATAATTCCAAGACAAGGCACAATGTTGAATTCTGCCCTAATGCCACAAGAGTCCAGAACCCTCACACGTAGATATTACCATGGCATTAAGCATATTGCTATCCAAAACTTTTAGCTGATCTCTTTGTTTTTCATTTAAGGATGCTGGAGCTCTTGGTACTTCTGTTGAGTATCTAGCTGCAGAAAGTAATTAATAGTAAGATCATAACATCATCATCTGGAGACACATCCAGTGAGGCCACATAGAAACAGATTTAGATTGCATTCTGACCTAAATATTTCCATTAAGTAGATTTCTCTGTTTCTACTTTTGTTTGCACGTTATTTACTAAGACAGGGAGCAGTGAAAAGTTTTGACCCAATTATTTGCTTAAGTACTTTTTCTCTGAATAGCAAATTGAACATAATTTATAATTTGTAATTTTATCTCCTGATTTCTAAAAAAAAAAAAGCAAATGGTTCTTTTGCACTTCAGTCTGGAGTGATACAAAGTACCACATGTTTTTTGTGTGGATGCAAACAAAAAAAATTTCAAAGCAAAATGCCATTCTTCTGCAGTTTTCTCCAGAAAACCTGAGTTCCGTTGAATGTAACAGCAGAACTGCAAGATAGCTTAACTCTGAAAAATATTGCCTCCACTTGTTGGAAGCATTAGAATAATACTCCATGTGCTGTGAGAACCTTGGTGCAGATCAGATAGACTCCCTTCTTTGAAGGTAAGAGTGCATTTACAAGAGTTTTAAAAAAATTGATGCTTACATTGCCATTTGAGGGTATGAAAGCCCTAATGCAGGATCGTGGGGTTGCCGTGATTTTGAGAAGTCTTAAGGAAAAGCACATTATATAGTGATAGGTCAGTGCAGTTTTTGTGGGGAGGCAACAATTCATTTTGTAGTTAATTTCCAAGAATAAGAGCTTGTAAATTCTAGGACACACTCCTCGCTTAGCCTTATTGAATCCAGACAATGACTTCCATTTCATTCCCCTTCTAGGGATTCCCCATCCCACCCCAGTTGGATCTTGAATACATGAGTATTGTCTCCACAAAATGGGCCTGCTTTGTCCATGCAGCCAAGGGAAGAGTGCCTCAGGATACACCAAGAAGCTCTAGTGTGTATACGATGGTCTTGGCTCCAGGTGTGGTCAGCTAGATCACATTGTCAAAAAGCTTCATGGAACTCATGATGTTTTCATCCTGCCAGAGAAAAGATGGAATCAAGGCCTTAGAAAAAGTGGGAAATTAAGAAGGTATAGCTTTACTGTTACTAAAGATATTGTATCAGCTCTCTTCCCTCGCAACCTGCCCTGTATTACTCCTCCAATTGTGTCACAATAATATTAATATAAATCCAGAGCCAGTAGTGAAATATCACATCTTGATCCCACTGATGGTGGTGATAAAAAGTTCTCATCTATTGAGCAAAGAATCGGACTGGCTAGTTATTATTTATTTATTTATTAGTCCAATTTGTATGCCGCCCTTCTCCGTAGACTCAGGGCGGCTTACAATGCATTATAGCAATAGCCTGCATACTTTTTTGTATATACCTGCTTATCAGGGCTTTCGGCCCCACCTAAGTGGTATTGTTCTATACTAAATTGGCTTATTGCCCCCACAATCCGGGTCCTCAATTTACTTACCTCGAAAGGATGGAAGGCTGAGTCAACCTTGAGCCTGGTGAGATTCGAACTTGCACTAATTGCAGGCAGCTGGCAGCTAAGTGCTAGCATTTAACAGCACTTTAGTCCGCTGCACCACCGCTATGCCCTTTTTCCTTATTCACTGCTATAAAGGATTAAAATGCCAGGAGGACAATGGTGTTACCTTCTGACAGGATTCAATGAATTCATCAATAGTCACCACACCATCTCTGTTCCGATCCATTTTCTGAAATGTAAATGAAAATTGAAGAAGAAACAAAGTAGTTTCCTAGGAGGACCTTCAGATGCAGAGAAACACCCTAAAATGTGAACTCAACACATCTCCAACCTAGAGACAGCTGGTTTGGCAACATGTCTATGATCTGAAAAGCCCCACCAGTAGAAAATGGCTTTATATCTCATTAATTCTATTTTGAAAGTATTTAAGGCAGAAAAGCCTTGGGAATTTTGAGATTTGTGAACTTCAACTACCAGAATTTCCCACAATTCTCGAAACAGCTTGGTAGTTGATCCATAAGTCTTAAAGTTACCAGGATTGGACACAACTGATTTAAGGAGACAGAAACAATTGAGTTGCTAAAAAAGTTTGTGTAGATAATTATAGAATTCTACTATGGGCAGCACTAAAACTGAAGGAACCAAAAAGAAAGGGAAAAGGAGGAAGCGGAAGAGGAAGGCTTTTTCCTCCCAAAAAGCAGATCAAAATAATAAATATTCTTGACTGTGAAAAGGTTTTCGCAGGTAAAGTGCAGGATATTAACTGGAAATATTCTGATATTAAGAGGGACACGGTGGCTCAGTGGCTAAGACATTGAGGTTGTCGATCAAAAGGTCGGCATCTCAGCGGTTCGAATCCCTAGTGCCACATAACGGGGTAAGCTCCCATTACTTGTCCCAGCTTCTGCCAACCTAGCAGTTCGAAAGCACATGACCACAGAGACATCTTCGGACAGCGCTGGCTCTTCGGCTTTGAAATGGAGATGAGCACTGCCACCTAGAGTCGCAAATGACTAGCACATATGTGCAAGGGGAACCTTTATCTTTTTTAAGCTTACCTGGAAAAAATTTTCCACATGTTCCTGGGGTGCCTCTTCTCTCATGGCTGGATAAGTGTACTTGCCCATCATGTCATAAATGGATTTCATTATATCCAACATTTCCTGAAAGTCAAAAGACAGAAAGAATTATTAGCCAATGTGGCCAGTGGATTCTTACTTTAGCAGATTCAGCAAAGTTCATCAACTTCTGACCCTGCTGATTTCTGCTACTATCTCTACCTCTTTGGTGATACAGCCATCTTTGTTCAGATCATAGAGATTGAAAGCCCAACTGAGCCGATCATCTATAGTGCCACGGAGAATAATGGACAAACCAGCTACAAAATCCTGCAAGAGACAAGATGATAAAAAAAGGATGAAATTCATCCTAAGCACTACTGCAGCTGTGATATATGCTACAGGAATGTAATGTAGATCCAGTGACTACAGTAAAAAACTGATAAATTGTATCCATTCATGGTTTCCTTAGAGAAGAATATTCATATGAAGATACAACTGCTCAAGATTCAGTAGTTTAATACATATAACACAGCTATGGGCAATTATTTTCAATCTCTCCTTTAATTAGAATTGCTGGAAATCTTCAGCATGGTTTTTGTCCTGTTTTTGTATTGTCAGTGATAAACACCCCTTTTTAAATATGCATTCTGTCATCTGTTAAACCCTGAAGCACAAAAATACAGATTCTGTTAGTACCAGCAGATGGCCTGTTAGTCAATGATTAGTTGAATGGCAAGGTTCAAAATTAGAATACAGACACATGTATTCTTTAAAAAAAAATTCTAACTGTAGACATGGTATTTATTTGAACACAACATTCTTGGAAGGCAAAGTACTTCCATCAGCAGTAGGGTTTAAAATTCTATTTTAGCCAATCTTTTTGGAGTGAGGTCAAGGGAGGTTACTGCTTTTTTTGCAAATTTGTGTTATTTATGCTTTAATTTGCCTATAAGAGCCCCGAATATAACTGATAAGATAAATAAAATTTCTCCAAAAATACTAATTACTCTGCAGAAGGCATTTATCCTTAGGCATACTTTCTACCTGCCCAATCGGATCCAGCAGAAGAGACATGCTATCCTATCAATTAAGGAGTGTCATCTTGCAAGACCCAGGAAATGAACCTTTTCTATTATAACACTTCTCCTTTGGAACATCATTTCACTAGAAGAATAGATTGGCCCCAACCCTGCTGGATTTTGTAAAAGCCTTGAAGAAGTGGTTGTGCTTCCAGCCATGGAGGTCATATTTCAGAGCCTATGAGATGGTTATTTTACTGGCATTTTTAATTTTTTTGTCCTGACAGTTATGTATTTCATTTCATTTCATTTTTATTTTTGTTTTTGTTTTTTAATTGCTGTTGGCTGCACAAAGTCACCATGGTGAGATGGGCAGCCATAGAAAAATATATAAATAAATACATAATAAATAAGAGTAGATACAGTTGCTTTTAGTCTGTAGTTTGCCCAAAGAATTTTGTAGGGGCTCACATATAAATAAATATGTATAGAGAATCTTACCTCAAAACTGACAGAGCCATCATGGTCAGTATCAAATGCGTTGAAAAGAAAAGTTGCATATGTACTAGAATCTAAAAACAGATACATCAAACATAGTAAGAACTACAATGTATGCATATTTTAGCTGATTGTATTGAATTACTTGGCTATCAGGAAACTATTAGAGAAAATAGCTAACTTGCAACTTTTTTGAAATTATAGATGCCCTAACATGATGATCTCTCACTCCTAGTTACAAAAGATACAGTTATTTCAATATTTATCCTCCTCCTTTTGTATTCACAAGGGAATGTATTAATACAAATACATATCAAATTAAGAATAGCTTTAGCAACAAGTGAGCAACAGTGAAACGGTACTATTAACTGTATCAGCAACCAATGTAGCACCCTGTTATTTCACTTTCTGTGAAACTAATTGAGAGAGCCATGCAATATAGTGTATTATCTTTTACATGCCAGAAAGAACATCATTGATGCCCTTGAAGTGATGTCCCGGTGCCTGGAGGCTGTACGGATCTGGATGGAGAGGAACAGACTCAGGCTCAACCCATCCAAGGCCAAGTGGCTGTGGTTTCCAACATCCTGATATAGTCAGTTGGTGCCATCACTGACTATTGGGGGCGAGTCATTGGCCCCCACGGAGAGGGCTCGCAACTTGGGAGTCCTCCTGGACTCACAGCTATCTTTAGAAGAGCACTTGACGGCTGTGGCCGGGAGGGCGTTTTATCAGGTTCGCCTGATTCGCCAGTTGCGCCCCTTTCTGGATCGGGACTCGTTAAATACGGTCACTCATGCCCTCGTCACTTCCCGCCTGGACTACTGCAATGCTCTCTACATGGGGCTCCCCTTGAGGAGCACCCGGAGGCTCCAGCTGGTCCAGAATGGAGCCGCATGGGTGGTTATGGGAGCGACGGGGCGCTCCCATGTGACCTCCCTCCTGCGCGAGCTGCACTGGCTCCCGGTGGTCTTCCAGGTGTGCTTCAAGGTTTTGGTTACCACCTTTAGAGCGCTCCATGGCTTAGGACCCGGGTATTTACGAAACCGCCTTCTGCCACCAGTAGCCTCTCACCGACCAGTACGCTCCCGTAGAGAGGGGCTCCTCAGGGTGCCATCGGCCAAACAATGTCGACTGGTGGCCCCCAGGGGGAAAGCCTTCTCTGTGGGGGCACCCGCCATTTGGAACGAGCTCCCCCCGGAGATACGGAGGATCCCGGACCTGCGCGCTTTTCGCCGTGCCATCAAAACATTTCTTTTCCAGCAGGCCAGCCTGGCCTAACCTCTCTTTTGAACTTTTAAACTTTTAAAATTCTTTAATTTTAAATTTGTCTTAAGAATTTAGGGTGTTTTAAATTTTGTTTTCTGGGCCAATTTTTTAATTGTATTTTAATGCTTTTTTAACATTTGTATTATATGTATTTTATCTGGCTGTTCACTGCCCTGAGTCCTTCGGGAGTAGAGCGGTATACAAATAATACTAATAATACTAATACTAATACTAATACTAATACTAATACTAATACTAATAATAATAATAATAATAATAATAATAATCATCATCATCTATAGAAAAAGTACAAAAGGCACAACTAGAAGGCTCCCAAAGCACTGGCTGAACATTTCATCGCTATTCTGGTTATTCTCCATTAGAACTGAGAATACAGTATTCCAAGAATAATTTTGCACCTTAAGCCCCTCATTTTTCAAATATGGATAAATAGTTATGCCAGGTTAAAACTGGCATAATTTATTTATTTTATTTATTTATTTTATTGAATTTGTATACCGCCCTACTCCCGAAGGATTCAGGGCGGTGAACAGCCATAGAATAAAACATATAGATACAAAATTTGAAATAAACTAAAACGAATTAAATAATTTGGCTGAACAGATTTAAAACTCCAATAATTTAAGACCAAATTTAAAATTTCCATTTAAAAAGGGGAAAGACTTAGGTCAGGCCAGCTTGATGAAATAGGAAAGTCTTGAGCGCGCGACAGAAGGTATGCAGATGTGGGATGCCCGTATCTCCGGGGGGAGCTCGTTCCAGATAGTAGGTGCCCCCACAGAGAAGGCTCTCCCCCTGGGGGCCGCCAGTCGACATTGTTTGGCCGACGGCACCCGGAGGAGCCCGTCTCTATGGAAGTGTACTGGTCGGTGGGAGGCTATTGGTGGTAGCAGGCGGTCCCGTAAATAACCAAGTCCTAAGCCATGGAGCGCTCTAAAGGTGATAACCAAAACCTTGAAGCGCACTCGGAAGACCACCGGGAACCAGTGCAGCTCGCGCAGGAGAGGTGTTACATGGGAGCACCACATCGCTCCCGTCACCACCCGCGCAGCCACACTCTGCGCCAGTTGGAGCCTCTGAGTGCTCCTCAAGGGGAGTCCCATGTAGAGAGCGTTACAATAGTCCAGACGGGAGGTGACGAAGGCATGAGTGACTGTGCATAAGGAGTCCCGATCTAGAAAGGGACGCAACTGGCGGATCAGGTGAACCTGATGAAAAATCCTCCCGGGCACGGCCGTCAACTGCTCTTCTAAAGACAGCCATGAATCCAGGAGGACACCCAAGTTGCGAGCCCTTTCCGTGGGGGCCAATGATTCGCCCCCAATAGTCAGCGATGGCACCAGTTTATCGGGACATCGGAAACCACAGCCACTCGGTCTTGGATGGGTTGAGCCTGAGCCTGTTTCTCCCCATCCAGATCCGTACGGCCTCCAGGCACCGGGACATGACTTCAAGGGCATCGTTGGGGTGGTCTGGGGTGGAGATGTACACCTGGGTGTCGTCAGCGTACTGATGGTACTCCACCCCGAAACCACGGATGATCTCGCCCAGCAGCTTTGCATAAATGTTGAACAAAAGGGGCGAGAGGACCGATCCTTGTGGCACCCCACATATAAGGGGCCTCGGGGTCGACCTCTGCCTCCCCGTCAACACAGACTGCGACCAGTCAGAGAGAAAGGAGGAGAACCACCGTAGTACGGTGCCTCCCACCCCCAGCTCTTCCAACCGGTGCAGCATGATACCATGGTCAATGGTATCAAAAGCCGCTGAGAGATCTAACAGGACCAGGACAGAGGAGCACCCCCTGTCCCGAGTCCTCCAGAGATCATCCACCAACGCGACCAATGCCATTTCCGTGCTGTACCCAGGCCTGAAGCCCGACTGGAACGGATCTAGATAATAAACTTCTTTTAATTAAAGGGAAGTTAGAAGAGAGGAATAAAACGTCTAGCTATGGCAAAACTTTAGGTTTGGGGATAGTAGAACAAGTATCACTTTTACAGAATTGTTCTGTGATATACTGTATAACCATGAAGTTGATTTCAAAACAAAGCCTAGGGCCAGGTTATTTTCAGGATCACTGGACTTTGAACATTTATGCCCATCCCACCCACTTTCATGTGTCGGGCAAGCTCCAAATCCTCTCCCTGAGGCAGTGTTATCTTTTGGGCTCTAGAATTTGTGCTTGTTCTGTGGCACTGTCTGCCCCTTGAAATTATCTCCTCCCTCTGAGATTAAAATGGCCCAAACACTCTCATCCTCCCAGAAAGCCTTGGACAGTTTGTGATCTTCTTCTTCTTCTTTTCTTCTTCTTCACATACCTGCTTTCTGTCCCAATTATTGAGTCAGAATGATTAATGAACCTGTCTCTGGAGGTGGAGTGCATTTGGTTGCCACTAACTTGATGTTATCTGATACATTGTTTATAGATAACATACAGTTCTGTATGGTTTCTTGCCTGTAATTGTTGTTTGTTTGGTTTATATGTGATATACACTATCCAAAATCATAATTATATGAGTTGAACAACTATGTATATCTTTTAAATAAGGAAAATGTCCATTTAACATCATGCAAAGAAAGTGGCCATATTTAAAAGTGCCACAGTTGACTCGACAACAGTTACTATTCCTTTGATATATGATCCAATGAACAGTGTTCACGTTTTTTACTTTATCTTTATCCTGTGAGGGAGGCAAGAGGATAATTCTAGGGATATATGGCAATGAAGGTAAGGAAGCTATAACTGAGGAGGTAAAGTCTCTCATCCTCTTTTATTTCCAACAACTGCCAGTTTATTCTCTTTTCCAGCTTTGCAACTTTTCCAAAATATTAGCTCTTTTGATTAAGGACTTACCTCCCTGTGGGAAGAATTGTGAGTAGATCTGCTTGAAGCTCTCTTCATTAACAATCCCACTAGGGCATTCCTATCAAATAGAAAAGTGTACATTGATCATCAGTTGGAATTGCTAACCTACAATATCCCAGGTGACGCATGCAGTGTAATCTGTGAGAAACTGATTTTAGTTTTCCCATCAAACAATAACAGAAAGAGGAATTCCCTCCTTTTGAAGAACTTGGATATTAGTTATCTCCTAGGGTGTTGGCAGTGAACAAATGGGAAGGTCAAACTAAGGGTAACAAGTGTAGCAACCAGCCTTAGCATTGATAATGAAGTTATTGAAGTGTTGGATAGCTGCTATCTTTCAGGATCATCTATAAACAGCAAAGGACTCAGCAGTCAAGAAATATGCTGCAGACTAGCATTTGATAGGATAACCATGAAGGTTTGATTTTTGTTTGTTTGTGCCTTTGAGTCAGTTTTGACTCCTGATGACTACCTGGACAAATCCTTGCAGTTTTCTTGGCCAGATTCAGAATTTTGCTATTGCCTTCTTCTCAGGATTGAGAGAAGATAACTGTCTCAGTTATCCCAGCTAGTTTCATGCCTAAAGTGGGATTAAAACTCAGAGTCTGCCAGTTTTTAGCCTGATGTCTCATCACTACAGCAAGCTGGCTCTCAAACTTGGTAGGATTGCAATGAAGGCTTGAAATAAATATTTAGATGCCATGACATGTTTATACTACAAAATTAAGAATTATATGGAAACAGGTTTTCCCTGTGATACTCTATGAAAGCAAAAGTTGGACTTTGAAGTGGTAGGATAGAAAGAATAAGTATGGTTTTGGAACTGCAGAAGACTTCTGAGAATTCCATGGAAGAAATTAAGAAAAGAAGATCATTAATTACATGGAACTAAATGTTTCAAAGGAAAGTGGTGTAACTGCAGCTTTATGTGAAAAAATAATACAAAAATTGTGCAAAGCCATTTGTATAACAATTGTATAATTATATGCTGTTCTATAATGTCTTCAAGCAACTTAATGCAATAAATATATAGCAGGCTTCAGTTTTTTTCTCTATATACTGCTGTGCATTATGTTAATTAAAATCAAGAAGGAGGTTTATGCCTTCTCCAGCTGCCACTCCCTTTGTAAAATTCATCCTTAGTGTTCTGAAAAATATCTAAACAAAATTGGCAACAATGGAGATTGGTTTTTTATGTTACTTTAAACTGAAGAGGGAAAAGGAGATGTTACAAATAGAAAAACAATCCTTCTGCACCTGCATACTATGATCATCTTTAGATCTCCAAATAATGATGATAATGGAGTGGGGGTGAGGGTACAGTAAAATGAAGAGTAGCTGAATGCAATTTGACCTTCAGAAAGAGGGGAAGCTATATTTGTTGGGAGTCCTAATAAAGACAGGAGGTAGTATGGAGAATGTGGTATTATGTTAGATAATACAGATAAAATATCTTATTGCAAAAAAAGGCTTGCAGAATTGTTCAAGTTTTTAGGACCTACCACTGTTATAATAACATGGGTACATAGTAAATAAATAATTACAGTTGCTCATTTAATAGAGAAGCAATTCAAGAGAGGAAAGAGAATGCAATCACATCAGAAGGAAATGCCAGCTAGAAAGGAAAGAGTCTTTTGAACTCACATTCTTGAAGCCTCGGTATAAGACTTGTAGCTCTTTGCGACTGAACTTAGTTTGTTCCTGTAATTGTTCCAGACCCTCAGGCCGATGACAAACCGTGGAGAGCTCAAACTCATCCTCTATGCTGTCTGCAGGAGAAAGAAGAACCTCAGAAGTATAGTAAGACACAACCTCAGTCCCTTTCTCCCTTCCCTCACTCCATCTTATTTCCTCTTGAAAATACTGGATTTTTCCAATTCTCACACTGACACAAAAGGGCTCATTACATTTGATTGAACGTAAGAATAAACGTCTCTTTAATTTTCTAATAGAAGAATGTATTTCAAATATGTATGCATGCTACAGAACCTCTGTAGATACAGTTTTAAAATAGAGGCACAGTCAGAAATTCAAAGCCCCAGTGATCACACCCTAGGCTAGAGGAAGAGTAGACTTCTTGTCTATTCATAATAGAGCTATATCAACCAAGTTCTCCTGTTTATTATGCTTAAAAGGAATCAAAATGAGAAAAATAAATTTCAGGACAAGTTTATATGGCAACTGGAGGCTATAGCTGACCCTATCATCCATGAGAATAAGAAATAAATAATATATGCATAAAAAACTTGGAATGTTTTTAGACTATCTAAGGCATATATATCTACAAACAAGTGGGAGAAATATTTATAGTGGGCAGCAAAGCTATAAATATGCTTTGGCTACTCAAAGAGCTGTTGCACCTAAAAGATATTCCTGCATTATCCAACTCTGCACTAAGGCCAAACTCAAAAGTCTCTTAGTGATTTAATGCAAACAAAAAAATGAAATTTCTCACCTTCTAAGACAAAGGGTAGAAAGTTTCAGGCATTAAAACATTCAGTCTTTTTGTTAAATTGCTGATAGATCATTTATTAGTTGCAAGGCAAGTAAAACCATAAACTAATTAATGATAGCCAAGAGAATAAATGTTAGAGGCAACACACAAGCATTGCTACATATGTCTCCACCAGTTTTCTAGGCTCAAATACAAATATGTAAATAGAAATCTGAAGCTGTGGAACTCTAATGCTTATCCTTTACTCGCTATGCATATTGACATATGTAAATCACAGAGATTCTCAAGGCTATTTAGTCAATCACAGCAATGAACTTAAGCTATTGAAAATTGCAAAAGAACCCTTGTATTTTCAGTTTAAAACAATCTTCAGTACATTACTTGTAGTATATATGGAAGGAAAATGTGTGAATGCAGATAAATACATATACAATAGATATATTGCAAAGCTCCCTAATGAGTTAATATTTTTCCTACTGGCTAGGATAAAAAAGTGTTTAAAAATCAGAAAAGAGTGGAAAGAAAAACAGTTTATTTTTTATCATTTGGACTATTTATGGAAGAATAGGCCAGGCTTTGACAGTAGCATACAACTATTATTACTGGCAATGAGTTGAGCAATCTGCTGAATGTGGACGTTAAGCACATTCTTAACTTGTATCTGGCATGATGTTAATAAATAACACAACAAACCTGTCTACGAAGCTTGGTTTACAAATAGGCAAAGGAAAGGATCCACCTCACAGCAAGAGTTAGCCAGTAGTTTAGGATTAAATACACAACCTTGATGCCCATAATGGTTCTGCATACTGTAGTAAGCACTTGCAGCATGTAACAAAGACCCAATTCCACCTCAAAGCAATGGTACAATATTAGTGGCTCAAATCTGAAAATCTGCCTTGGGTATCCATTTTGTATCTTAGGTATTACTAGCATATCATTATTATACAATATAGATTTGATCTAAAGTTTGTTTTAACAAAAGAACTTTCTAAGGATTTTATATAAATTCTATACAGAGGGAATCTTTTCTCCCCCTTCCTGGATATTATAATGTCACAGCACAGAGAGCATAAAGAGGCACAAAGTATCACTTGCTTTCGCTGATTGAGGGGATGGATTTAGGCTGGCGGCAGCAGGGGAGCAGCTTGAGGAACCGCTGCTTCAGGGCTTTTTTAGCATGACCAGATGGATTGCCTGGAAAAAAATGACAATCGCCACAAGGAATTAACATATCACGGCATCTTTTATCTACCCCAATCATTCCCTAAGTGTCAGTCACAATAAACATGGAATAAATCAGAGAAGACAAGCATGCATAATATCAGTGCTGCCAAAAAAAAAAAAAGTCCAACTCGGTTACAGCACAAAATTCCCTTAAAACAAATAATCATTCCTCTCAATCAAAATGGATTGTAGGAAATTGTACAGTAAAAAGATAAGAAAGGAGGGAGCACAGATGTTTATGTATCCTCTTTTCTCCCAGTCGCATTTAGAAGTCACAATTTAACAGCCTCAAATCCACTTACTGTGCATGCAGTGACATCATGAAAAAACTTTATATCTGGGCACCACCAAGAGTAATACATTCGAACAGATTTTGTGGAATCAAGGAATTGATACTTGGAAACATACTGTTATGCCCTGCTGCATAACTGCTAGATAGTTAATAAAATTAATAATATAGTTGAATCCTGCCACATTCTCAGATCAAGCATGAAAATTAAACAATTGCAAGGTGACTTTTTGCTTATTTATTCATTTCTTCCTGCCATTTGTAGTGTTGTACATTAAGGAGGCACAAAACTGCATTTGTGTCCATACTGATGCAGGTCTTAGTTTTAAAATGTACAGTAATTCTAAATCTGAGAAAACTAAACTAAAAGGCAGTTAGAAATATATGCATGTCTGGAGCAGGTGTAAAAAAGTAGAAACAAAAATTAGAAAAGAACATAGTAATTTGAGCAAAAGCACTGAGAATGCAGCAACTGATCATGCATTTCAAAAGAATAAGTGGTATAGGAAACCACTAACACTGTGTTTCGTTTGTTTTTGCTGTCCTGGCTTTCATTAGTTCATTACCTACTCTCTTGGCAGCTACTTCAAATAATAATTGCACTTGAAATAATAACTTTAAAAACTAGTCACTCTCTTTCACACATGCACACATTTTTGTCCTTGTTAAGATCTAATGCACATATTAAACTGGTTGATTTTTATCACAATATTAACTAGAAAGAGACAGATGATTCCTACACAGAATATATATATCATTTATCACCCTTTTATAAGCACACACCTGGAAAGCTTAGCTGCATTTGCAACAGTTGATGAGCACACAGCTTTATGAAATTGCCCAGAAAATAACCTCTAAATGGGTAATAAATAATAAATCAGCCCAGAAGCAAATATAGCTTCATTCTGGTCGGCATTTTCTAGATAAAAAGTACTGCATAAGAATCTGCCAATTTCACTTTCCATGGTTAGAGTTCCTGTAAGTTGCTTAATAACTTAAGTAGGGACATCTTAAAAGAGTATCAAGCATGACTTTGGCGAGCCTTTTTTTTTTTTTTTTTTTTGCTACTATATCTTTAATTTTCAGAAATGGCTACAAGAGCTAAATTATCCCTTTACTATCTTGAACAGAAGTCTACCACGTGCCTTTATCTGTCCATCACTTGGATTTGGACAGATTCCTTGCTAATCCTGGAAACATATTTCCACCCCATTTCTTAGCAGTAACCTGAATAACAGAACCTGAATAGCAGAAGCTTCTTACTTTGGCCTGTTCTTTCATGCCATTTGTTTCTATCTTGATCCTTTGTTTAGCATCCTGTAATGCTCCCCAGATGTTAGCTCTGGTGACTGGACCAGAGGATCGCTTTCAGTTTTGATATGTTACCCTTATATTTAATGTGTGGGAGGGAGGCATTATCCCTTTCTGATACATGCTACTATATCGTATTATAGGATTGTTTGCCTCATGGCAATAGACTTTAAACTCTCAGCTAACCTGAATTCTCTGTTCACCTTCTTAAAAAGTAATCATATGAAAAAATATTATCAGTGGGACCATATCAAAAACTAATCACCAGCTTAAAGGAAGCTGGGATGCCAAATGTAGAATTTACTATAAAACTTCAAAAGGAACACAGCTGTGTAAGTATCTGTACATTCTGAGTCATAATCAAATCACTTTCAATGAAACTGAAAAGAGTTTCCTTCCTAAGGAGAATTTGCTTTATAAAAGAGATAAAGCCATTGTAGTTCAGTGGTTAAAGTGTGAATTAGCACCAAGGAGACCCACATTCAAGGCCATCCTTAGCTATGGAAACTCACAGGACGATTTTCAGCCAGTCCTCCTCTCTTAGCTTAATTTACAGTATCTCAAATGCTGTTATGGGAATAAAATGAAGGAAAATTCCCAGGTAAACTGCCTTGAGCTCCGGGTGGAAAATGGATAGAATTCTAACTAATTAATAATATATGACCTTCTGAACAGTTATTATAGTCCCTTTGAGGTCAGCCATTAAAAATGTAATTTACCCCAGAAAATATGTTCAAAGAATAGAGTGGATTAAATTTACTGTAATATTGTGCTGATTTTCCTCCTTTCTCCAGGGTCAATACCAATCAGTGGTGATTGGGGTGAGCCTGCTCTCAACTCCTACTGTGTGAGGTGCTGTAGGGTTCACTGCTATCTCCATTCCTATTTATATTTATAGAAAGCCACTGGATAAGGTCATCCATCATCATGGGGTGAAGTATCATCATTTCCCTGATGATACTCAGTTATACCTGTCTGCCCCTGGCAAACTGAGAAATTCTGTTGATGTCATATCCTGATGCCTGGGGATGACAAGAGTCTGGATAAGGCACAAAAGACTTCAGTGGAACCCTGGCAAGATTGAGTGGGTGTGCGTTTGGGACCTGCCAATTTGGGGACTATATCATCTTTCCTCCTGAGTAGAGTTGCACTGCCCAAAACAGACCCAGTGCACAATTTGGGGGCCTACTTGGAGGTCATCCTGAACTCATGACTCCTGTTTGAAGAACAGGTGACAGTCATGACTAGGAGGGCCTTTGCACAACTTCATGTTGTGCCCCAGTTGCACCCATGTCTGGATTGGGAGGCTTTGCTTATAATTACTTATGCTCTGGTCAACTCCTGGATAGACTACTGTATGGGGCTTCCTTTGAAGAGTATCTGGAAGCTTCAGCTGGTACAGAATGCTATGATGCAGGCAGTTACAGGTGGCCCTAGACTGGCATTTGTTATACCTCTGCTCTGTGAGTTGCATTTCTGGGTCCAATGCAAGGTGCTACTTTTAACTTTTAAAGCCTTTCATGTTGTTAGGTTAGGTTATTTGAGGGACCACTCTTCCTGATTAAATCTGCCAAGCCCATCAGGTCTAGCAGAAGCATATTGTTGGTCCTTGTCTTTTAGGGCATTATATTTGATGGGACTCAGGAGACGAGCATTTTCTATTCTGGCACCTGCTCTGTGGTACCCTAAACTCTAGTACTGAAACTGCTGGTAATTTTCATTCAGACATGTTGTATGGGAGGTGTGGTCTTATAGGTTACTCAGTTGATTCATATTATAGCTTCCAAGCAATTGAGTATAATTTATTGACACTAAATTTAGCACCTATTTTTAATGCCAGATAAAGACACTATGATTCTCAAATGCTTTAAATTGCTATCACTATGCGTTCAACTATTTTATTGCTTCTGTCATTGCCCCCTTATTTTTATATTAAGAATTTATATTTTAAATATATTTTAAATGACAGACTATTCTGATGACTATAAATGAACATGTTAAAATACATAAAGCACATGTATAAAATATTAGAGAAAAAGAAAGGAAGATCGCTCCAAACAATGGAATAGAAGAGATAAGTTACTCCAGTTTTTCTGCAGCATTTATAAGTCCCTTAAGCTTCCACTTGTGACTTCAACCCTGAAAATATAGACTAATGATTATCCCATTTATATCTAAATGAGGATTCATGCCTCTTGCTGTCTATGTTACAATTGTATTTCATTTTTTTTCTGCATTAACTTTTATTCTAGTGACAGGTTTCTTCTGTTTCACACCACTTATGGCTGGCGAAAAGCACTATGTCTCTATATTTTTACACTACTGGAAAGGGCAAAATTACTTTAAATCCTAAAGAAATGTTATATCACTAACATTGGTCAGTACCCTTACAAAACATCTAATACTGCTGTAAGGATCAGATTATACAGAATAGGTGACACCAAGGGGTTCCCTAAATGAACACTTGCAAAACTGTTCATCTGATGGCAGGTGGTGTGATAGACAAAGAAGAGAAATATACTGCTGAGAAATTAATAAGACTAAAATAAACTGACATCTCAGAGTAAGCAAATGAGAACAAACCTGGAATGTGTATAGTTTTCATTATCTTGTTTAAAATTCTCATTGTTGCTTTGGCTCTTTGCAACTGGGCTTGGCAGCTTTTTGATATGGGTAAAAATTCCTCTTTGAAGTGTATGTGAGTTCTCAGTAATTATATGCTGCATTTGCAAAACAAGATGAGAAAGGTATTTTTTAATATTTTAGTTCATTTTCCATGAAAATAAATTCCGAAGAGTGGACATGAAACAAATAGGAAGCATCAAAACGGCTAAAAGCCTTGTCACTCTAGCTGACAATGGTGTTTCTGATAAATGTATGTGCTTTTCTTTTAAAGAGAAGCTTAGTCTACCCTAAAATTTACTAAATTTATAGTTTGGATTTCATTGCAGGCATTACAAGAGGAAGCTGCTTCACAGTGTGGATCAAGTTATTCTCAGAAGCTCCATAGTGCCTAATATAGCAATAGCACTTAGACTTATTTATTTATTTATTTATTTATTTATTTATTTATTTATTTATTTATTGGTTCTATTTATATGCCGCCCTTCTCCGGAGACTCAGGGTGGCTTACAATGCGTTAAGCAATAGCCTTCATCTTTTGTATATACCTGCTTACTAAGGCTTTCAGCCCCCACTAAATGGTGTTCTTTTTTTTTTTTTTATACAAAGTCAGCTTATCGCTCCCACAAGACGGGTCCTCATTTTACCTACCTCGAAAGGATGGAAGGCTGAGTCAACCGTGAGCCTGGTGAGATCTGAACTTGCAGTAATTGCAGGCAGCTGGTGCTACTTTAACAGCATGTAGTCAACTGCGCCACCAAAGCTCTTGGATATAGCGCTTTACAGTGCTTTACAAGCCCTCTCTAAGGAGTCAGCATATTGCCCCCAACAATTTGGGACCTCATTTTACCCACCTTGGAAGGATAGAAGACTGAGTCAACCGTATTATCAATGTTTATGTTGAACATGAACCCAAGCAAGAAAGCGGCATTTTAAAAACAAGGCAGGTCCTGAAAGCGCCTCCTCTGATCTCTCCAGCAAGTGGTTGATATATGCCAGCGTTCCCATTCCTTATCCAAAATGTTTTGAAAGTTGCTGGGAAGTGTAAAGGGGGGAAGATCAACCCCTGATTAGTGGTAGCTTCTTACCACCTTTATTCACATTTTTATCCCACAGCTGGCTCTTTAATTGTGCCCCTTCTTCCTAGTGCACAGAATCACCCTGTCAATTTCAATCAGGACTTTTGTCTAGTATCCACTGTAGACTTGATTATGTGCAAACTTCTTGTAGTTGGACTTTTATCTTTTCTTTCCTCCCTGCAACTCTGTCACATCCTCACTTAGGCACACACTTACTCTGTTTCCTGCCAATTTTTCTTCTGAATTATTGATGCCAGCATTTTAAGAGCCACAATCAATAACACCAGATTTTCAACCTGCCCTACAGTCCCTCTTTTTTCCTATTAATATGTCAGGTTTTGGACCACCAATGAGTTAGCCAGTTTGTGGCTTCTGGATAGTAGGAAAGATGGCAATGTCCTTCAGAACAATGGGTTCCAAGACAGCACTCCAGATACCATTAATCCCTGGCGTTACATGGCATGGTTTGTGGTGAAGCCTCCCTAAACTATTAAAACACAACATTTTTGTATCTATTTAAAAAAAGTTTTTATCAGAAGTTGTGTTTTTGTGTGATTAGCTTACACTCACAGCTTGCCTATTAAAGAACTCGTAGTAGTCCTTGATTTATGACCAGTCACTTAACCATTAAAGTTACGACAGACCTCCCCAAAACTACTTACAACCTATTTTTAAGTTATGAACGCCCCCACACAACATGGTCATATGATTGCATATCTGGTTGCTTGGCAACTGACTACTTTTACAACTGTCTGCAGTGTCCTGTGATCACATGAATGTGATTTGCAATGCGTTTTGCTGATTTCTTGTATTTACTTTCTGTTTCTGGCAAAAAATACACACCTTGGGGAAAATTGATTCATTTAACAACCATGGCATTCACTTAATGATTATGCCATTCACTTAATGACCATCAAAGATAAAAAAAATTGGTCCAGTCAAGTGATTTCTTGACTTATAACTTCTATTATCTATGACTGTAATTCCAGACTCAATTAAGGTCATAAATCAAGGATTACCTGAATAGCTTTTCAGCAGCTATTGTAAGCAATGACTATCTAACAAGCTAAACTTCCTTTTAGTAATTTCATCTTAGACCTCTTTCATCTCCATCCAATATATAAAAAATGCAGTGAGAAAATCTATTGTTCAATAATCTGGCAATGACAATTGTACTATTTTCTCTCTGAATTAATAGATTGGTAGAGAAAAGAAAGACATTGGGAAGATCTGGAAAAAGTTTTTTATATAATAAAGTCTCTTTTGCTTATAATGATTACAGTAAAGGTTTACGGTGTATTCTTTCCCAGAGTAGTGCCTTCCAGATAAAATACAACTTCCATTATTTTCTGATAGTATGATTATATCATGTCAGCCCTGTGAACTACACTATATAAAGTTTTCAAGCTATATTTAAAATAATGAACAGAAAGAAATCAGACATCAGACATGATAATTCATGTCTGGCCTAACTTTTAAATTTGAATTTTAAATGGGAGATTTTAACTGTCGGGCCAAATTGCTTAATATATTTTTAAATTGTTTTTAAATTTTGTATTGTATGTTTTTTATCTATGGCTGTTCACCGCCCTGAGTCCTTCGGGAGAAGGGCAGTATATAAATTTAAATATTAAATTAAATTAAATTAAATAATTTTAAAAAAATCAACGAGAGAACATTTTACTAGCCCAGAACACTTCCTTGTTGCTGGCTTCAAGATGGTCATTCTTTGGGGGGGGGGGAACCCATAAGACACATTATGTAGCTGAACTCAATTTATTAAGGAAAACAGAATAACAGAGTTGGAAGGGGCCTTGGAGGTCTTCTAGTCCAACCCCCTGCTTAGGCAGGAAATCCTATACCACTTCAGACAAATGGTTTTCCAATATCTTCTTAAAAACTTCCAGTGTTGGAACATTCACAACTTCTGGAGGCAAGTTGTTCCACTGATTAATTATTCTGTCAGGAAATTTCTCCTTAATTCTAGATTGCTTCTCTCCTTGATTAGTTCCACCCATTGCTTCTTGTCCTGCCCTCGGGTGCTTTGGAGCAGTGGTCCCCAACCCCCGGTCCGCGGACCGGTGCCGGGCCGTGGAGTACCTGGCACCGGTCCGCGCAGCGGCCGGGGGACATGAACGCTGCAGCGCAAAGGCTCCTGGGCCGTGCGCAAAAGCTCCTGGGCCGTGCGCAATGGGCCGTGCGCAAAAGCTCCTGGGCCGTGCCCCCACCCCTGCGCGCGCTCAGCGGGCCGCGGCGATAAAAAGGTTGGGGACCACTGCTTTGGAGAATAGCTTGACTCCTTTTTGTGGCAGCCCCTGAGATATTGGAACACTGCTAGGAGTTTAACAACTATTTCTTAATCACCATAATCTTTAGCACTGTTGCTTGCTACATATCAGTAGTGGGTTTCAATTTCGAGCACTACTGGTTCGCTCGTGGGCGTGGGTGCGTGCTTCTGCGCACGTGATGCTTTTGCGCATGTGCAGAAGCTTCTGTGCATGCGTAGAGATGTCTGGGTAGGTGGGCGGAGCCTCCCGCTGCCACTGCTACTGGTTCGCCCGAGCTGGGGCAAACCGGTAGCAACCCACTACTGATACATATGTTAATTAACCTATTCAAGATTGCCTATCAGTGTTTCTCAACCTTGGCAACTTTACGATGTGCGGACTTCAACTCCCAGAATTCCTCAGGCAGTGGGGTTGAGAAGCACTGGTGTATATTATGTTGAACAATTGTTTTGTGAATGACAACTATCAATAGATAAACAACTAATTTTCTGTTCTCATTTTATTTTCCTGTGTTTTTTCTTTTACTCCCCACCTCTCCATCTCTCAGGAGCCATGAAAGCTTATGCTATAATAAATGTATCAGTTTTAAAATGCATCAGATTAACTCAAAGAACTGTCTGGAAACTTGTAGTATAGGAAGATGATTGGTTGTTTTCCTTTTTTTTTCATGCTGCATCAACAGTCTCCTGATTCAGCAACTCTCACCTTCTTCATTTTGTCCCTTTTTCTGTTGGGCAGCAGTCAGGAAAAAAATAAAAACAGCCCACTCTTTGGCACAACCACAGATATAGGGTGATTGATTGTGGTGGGCTGATGAAGGGATTCTATCCATTAAAGTCTGTACGCCATTAGAGGATTTTATTTCACTAGGGAGCATGATGCAGCAATGCTTAGGAACACTCTTATGGTCAAAAATAACACGGGGAAAGAGGTAGAGACAGTTTCGAGTGCCGGAGACATGAGAATCAGTTTGGGCACAGTTGCAGGGACTGACCTACAAGAGTGTTCCCTAAACCGCTCCAACAATGTGCTTCCTTGTTGGGAAGAAGGAAGTCCATATATGCCATAGAAATCTGGAGCATCGATATATATATTATATATATATATAATAAAAAACACATACAAAAATTGGAAAGGGTCTTGACTGGCACTTCTCCTTCCTCAAAAGGTCTTCTGGGGAAATGCACAGTTTTGTTCTAACTCTGGTAAAAAGAGAATCAACAGAATTCACCAACTAGGGATTCAGTCTCTCAGATAAACTTATCAGGCTAATGTTTACCAGGGAAAAAATAATGCAGAAGAAAGCAATTCTGCCAAGTTTAGGAGTGAATGAAGCTTTGATCTCTCCTTATACAGTGAGGTTTTAGGCTATATTTATGGCATCGTAAATAGTATCTCAAGTTGACTTTGGCTGGACTAACACAACATATTTTGAAAGTGGACCAAATGTCACACTAAATCCATACTCAGAAGCCAACCTGACTAGCAGCTGATATTTGTTTCAGTACTGATGCTTGTTTCAAACACCCTACAAAGCACCTGATTAAACTGGACGATAACACAACCCTATCACGCATCCTTCCCCTACCTGCCCAACAGAGTATTTGAACCATGAGGAGACATCATTCTGTCTAATGACAGGCAGAATCATACAATTCAAAGAAGTCATTTAGATTATCAGATCCAGCCCCCAGCTCAATAAAGTAATCCAGATTAAAGCAAGAGATGATTGTCTAACCTACCCCAAAGTATGTGGGTAATTAAATTCCAGTGAAGGAAAGTAGACTGCTTCTCAGTACAATTGATTCCAGAATCAAACTTGTTTTAGCAATGTTTTCTTAACATTGAAACTACCTTTTTCTTCTTACAGTTTGAGTCTGTTAGTCTGAATCTTGCATATTTTATCCTGATTTATTTTATTTATTTATAAAATTTATATAGTTGCCCATCTCACTGAAGCAACTTGCGGCGGTGCACAACAAATGAGTAAAACCATGTATTAAAAAAGCCCACAGAAAAAACATAACAATTTTATTAAAAATATAAAAATCACATTAACAGTAAATATTATAAAATAGAGAAGCAGAGAATGGATTCTGACTCTTTTCTATAGCACAATGTTTAATTTATTATCCCGTCTTCTGAATACTACCCATTTCACTCAGCATCTTATCACCAGATTTAGTTTTCAGTCCTCTGACCAACCGTTACCTTTGTCTGAACCTTCTTTTTTTTTTTTATTGCAAAAGTTTTACAATTACATTTTCACCCCTTTTTCCCCCCCCACCTCCCCCCCCAAACTTCCCAACCTCCCTAACCCTCCCTAACCCTCCCCTCCCCCCAGACTTCCCTATAATATATTCATACTCATAAAAAACCCTTAATATAACACTCATATATAAACTTGAACCTCCCTCCCCTGTATAATTTCTCTCTTTAACTCATTACATTAAAATATTTCCAATACATTATTTTCAAATAAAAGCTATTTGATACTTTCTAGTTTGATATTTGTTCTGAACATATTCTATCCACCTTTTCCATTCCCATTCATAAGTCTCTTGTGAACAATCTTTTAAATATGCTGAAATCTTCGCCATCTCTGCAAAACTGGCCATCTTCAAAGTCCATTCCTCGATAGTGGGCAAAGCTTCATTCTTCCAGTATTTACCTATCAACAATCTTGCTGCTGTTATCATATACAATATCAATTTTGTTTCACCCAATGTAAAACCCTTAACTATACCCAATAAAAACAATTGTGGAGAAAATTGAATTTTTTTCTTCAAAACATTCTGCATGACCCACCAAATTTTTATCCAAAAAGCCTTAACTTTCCTACAGGTCCACCAAACATGATAATACGTAGCATCCAAACATTCACATCTCCAACATTTTGGCTGAACATTAGGGTACATACATGACAACTTTTTGGGATCTAAATGCCATCTATAAAACATTTTATAGAAATTTTCCGTCAGGTTCTGCGACTGTGTAAATTTAACATTCTGAACCCAAATTTTTTCCCATGTTTCCAACATCACTGGTTCTTCAAAATTTTGTGCCCACTTAATCATACAATCTTTAACTAATTCAGTTTCTGAATCCCTTTCTAACAAAACATTATAAAGCCTTTTGATATGCATTGGACCTTTCTCTCTTATATGTCTAACCAATTCTTCCTCGTGCAACATAATACCAGTTTTTT